ACAGACAACCTCTCGTCAATATGCGTTTTTCGCATTGCATTGCTGCAAAAAACGCATAAAAAACGGTCTAATCTGAAATTAATGAGCAGTACCGCCAATATGATTTAATTTTAAAAACGTCCCCTGCTTTCAACGACCTGTGAAGCAGCAGTGGAAACGCTAAGACTTTTGTCCTGAATTTCTGTCTGTGTGAAGCTAAAAGTAGATCGATTCATGCTGTGGAGAGGTTTTTCTTTTCGGGTCGTGGCTGATGAAGCAAAGACTTGTTCTCAACCCTTTGTCCAGAACAATTTTCGAGAAAGGGCTCCGTTCGCGACACAAGCCTATCAATCCGACCCATGCAGGATAATCATTAAAACTTGGCGCGTTCCAACCTTATGCTGTTTTATACGAGATTTTAAAAAGCATCCGGCCTATAGACGACAAATACCACTGATGATGAGAGTGGAACTTGAGGGGACGAGGTAACTCCCTCACATCTTGTCCCTTCCAGTCTTCCTCTGATAAAAAACTATATATAATACCTGCGCACACTGACTAAGCAATAATTTCAGGCGGTTCCAATCAGATTTTTCTTCCGCTGCTTTCAGCCACGAGCCCATCTGCTTCCACCCAAGTGGCGTACTGAAACGCTGTATAGCACCAGCTTGCGCCGCCACTGCTGAATCGCTGAAAAAGACAAAATTCAGTCCAAGTCTGTCTTACAGGTTAATATCGCCCAAGTTCGATTTTCTTCGCTAAAATTGTACCATTTTTGGTTAAAAAAGCAAACATTGCACTAAAAAAAGATGTGAAATTCAACTAAGCGTTAAAATCAGCCAAAACGAAACCTAAACGAAATTCTAGAAAAATTAGACGTTGCTTGCTCACTTTCTGGTAAATTTTGTGAGCGCTATACACCCTCCCCCTGTGATCTCTTCTTTCAGAAGTACTGTAAAGTTTTACTGAAACGTATGACGCATATATATCCCCAATTTAATGCATTATGCATTATGTATTATGAAAAAATAAAATTACTTTTATAACACTTTGGCGCTAAAAAAGTTGTGTTTGAGCGAACAAAGTACAAAAATAGGCAACTACTAAAACTCGGATAGGCCTGGACGTGGGAAGTGCACTCGTTTGTGGATTTAGGCAAGAGTTATGAAAATTATTACCGGACTTTTTTGTTTCGGTAAGAATTTAGAGTGCAAACACAAGTTTACTAGCTATCCCTTAACACCTAGTTTCTTGTTTAGCATCATAAACTCATATACTACTTCCCCGCCCTCATAATCCCTACCCTGGTCCCAATTCCCACCTCCAACAAGGTCAAAGTCTTTTCCAGTCAATACCTCAGTCCCCTCCCCTCTGCTATGACCTCTCAAAATCTACATCACCACCCTGACCCTCTCTCTCGCACTTACCACTATCTTACCCCATCATCCCAGGGGGCAAGACATTCCACCTGCTGCAGTGAAGGCCAAATTAGTAAATATTCAAAAATAGAATGCGATACTTATACCGATCGAATTGTGCCTTCCTTCCGTTGGGAGCAGTGCGCATTTTGAATGAAAATGAAAAGAATACAAAAATCTTGAATCTTCTTTTGAAATTTTTTATTCTTTTTTTGAATTTTTTTCGAAAAATTTTGAAAATGAACGAAAAAATTTTGAATGAAAAAAACTCATACGAAAACAAAACACTTACCTTATTTTTTCGGACTCCTCGTCTTCAGGTACCACTGATTTCCTTTTTGCTTTTCCGGTGCCAGACGTGGACGCCTGGGACGATGACGAGTCTGACGAAGCCAACTGTTTTAGACGCTAAAATTGTCACAATTAGCTAGGAAAGGGAGCGCTTGAAAAAAAAAAATTCAGTTATTTTAAACGACAGAAATTATTTTCTCTTCTCACCACTAGTGAAACTGAGGAATTTTTTTTTTCTGCAAGGTATAATCGTGTCACATTTATGTAACTCTCTACCCTCGATTCCTCCCAGTCCCAGAAGTTGGTATTTTCACGTAATTTTTTTCCAAATGCAAATTTCGAAAAAGCATGAAGTAGGCTTCGGACGTGGAAATGCCTGATGCGAAGCGCTGCACAATTCCCTTGATTTATCTCTCGGTGCTCAAAACTCGCATGACCAACCTTATCTTCGACAGCTCTGGCAACAATTTCACGTGCTATTTCTCGAGAAGTCTCACTACGCGCTGCAGTAGCAGCAGCAACAGCAGTTTCTGATTGGGATTCTCGCAAAGATGTCGGCTGACCGGATGACTGTGCGTGACGTTGTTGTGGAGAAACTCCAGTCATACGACGCAACTACAAAAATGCCCTTCAGTTGGTACTACTTCCGCGTAACTTTTTTAAATCGCAAGCATGCCATTTATATATAGTTAACAGCAATAATAATAATAATAATAATGATAATAATAATAATGATAATAATAATAATAATGATAATAATAATAACAATAATAATAATAATAATAATAGCAACAATAATAACAACAATAACAGTAATATTAACAATAATAATATTAATAAATGTCCCATTATATAAAGAAATGTGTCGCAGTGTAAGCCCTTCCTGTTTTGATGTCAATTTCAACTTCATTCCGAAATATTTTATTTTGACATCTCGCCACTAATATGAAGCTACTCGGCCAAAACGGTCATGCACAAATATGTTTAGACTTAGCTAAAAAAGAACTTTTCTTCCTATGGTTTTTAAAGTGATCCAACATTTTTAACGGGAAATTTCACGCCTTTGTGGCTATCTGAGCCATTATTCACCTTTCTTTTCAGTCTCCTGCGCTTTTTGCCTTCCGTCTAACGGTTTTTTCCACTTGCACTTTTTTGTAAAAACAATTTTGACATCTCACAAAACAAAAAGAACAACCTGACCCATATATTCCGCAAGAACAAATAGAACTTGAGAAAAGAAATGATCTAGTGAATGCCCAGCAAGGAAACGATTAGCCTTTGTGATAGCAAATAAACATTACAAAAACCGTTTGTTCTGCTGAATTTTCGTAATGAAAATCCCAAAGTTATAGCGATAAAATACAACAAAAATTCCTACAATAAGATATCCCTATTTGGAAAGAAAGTTTGGACCTCTGCAGAGATATCAATTAAGTCGTATCAGCGGCATTACGATCAAAATGACCGCCTTAAGAAACTGTCCGCCTTTCGCGAAAAGCAATGCAAAGAGCCGACGTGTCCACGTGGAAGCAATGTAAAACAATGAAAAACTCAATTTAATGCACCATTTATAGTGGCCAAACACCGCTAGCACTAATCAATCGAAAATTTGCATCAAAAAACCGGGCAATCGATGTGAACAACCGATATATTGCACAGTATCCGCAGAATGCATCCAGATGATGCCCTATACTGTATGTTTTCTGTAGAAGCCTAATGCCAGAAGATCGTACGAGCAGTCTTCTATTTTCTTCGGGGTATCACTCATCGATTAGCCAGGCCCACTGGTTGCTAACGAGACGAAGAGTCCTGCCTAGCGGATTTTACTCGCACACATGGTCGCAACAGCATCCTGCATATCGCTAATCAAACGAGCAGTCTGACTACGTATATTAATCACGAAGAAAAGCTACAAACATTCTTCGCCCCGCTACTCTCTCTTCATTCCAACCAGTATTCGCTCTTTTACTACGTTTCGTATCCGTATGTCATTGCTTGTAGCAGAATGATAATTAATGAAGTACATCAGTTCAAAACTTTTGAGACGTAGGCGAGCTATTTAGGCTAATTATAAGAATGGAATTATAAGTAAAACAACGTAATAATCTTTCATAATATCATAATATTAATATTACAACGCTTAAAAAATATCCACTTATTTGGGAACTGTTAAAAAAATGATAAAAAAAACATACGGAATTCCGAAACGCCTGTATACGCTCGAATGAGCGTGACGATTCCAACGCATAGATTGGCTGGCCTTCGATCGTATGCCCAACAATCATTAACTGCAAGAAAAAAAAAAAACTAATTTCAGAATCCTGACTGAAAAATTGTCAGGAACTATTCACTACCTCGCACTGTGTGGCCCCAAAATCTTCAGGTGATGCACATGGAAAGCTTGCAAACAAAGCACCAGCACTCTCGCTTTTCACTGACAACTGCCTCGCTTCAGCAAACGAATCCATACATTGGTCCGGCTGTCGTCTAAGCCTTCGGAATGTGAATGTGTCACAGAGAAGCCGAGAGCCGGAACGACGGTCGATAGGCTGTGGAATAGGCCTTGCAACCTTAGCTACGATGGCCTCATTCGAGCCTTTCATTTTCATTCAATCCTGAGAAGCCTTCAGGATTACGCCCAGCGATGAGAACCTTCTCAACCCCTCGCTCCCCTCCCCCCCCCC